TTACCAACGTCAGTATTTTAGTTGGTTTTGAGCAGTAGCTGGTTGATAGGGGTTTAATGATATAGTATTTTACTCTTCCGGCCTGACGAATAAAGCTTTCCGGGACACTTTTATTTCACAGAACGTATTGTGGAAAATTTTAATCCGGACATTTATCAAAATCAAATGAACTTTGTTGAGTTTTCACTTCGTTTTTGTACGTAATGTGGCTTCGTCTGCGGTTCTGCAGCTACTTGCTTCTTCCCAATAGGTCCGAACAAAAACGAGCAGAGATAATTGGACATGTTTCCTTACAGGGAAATCTTTTTAAATATTTTTAATAATTTTTGGGACGTTTCCCTTTCTATTTTAATTTCCTGAATATTTTCTGAATATCTAAATAATAATTAAATAAATAATCAGATACCAATTAAATATATTTATAATTCTATCAATTACACATACACCCAAAAAAATGTTCAAACCCAAGAGAACCACATATCATTTCTGAAGGAATTCGATGCGCTGAATACGATCCCGTAGTCAAAATTGATGACTTCCCGATGAATTTCGGAGAAAAGTGAGATATTTGGGTGAAAATTGGCCCAAATACAGATTATTTCCTAAATTTTATCCAAATATATAATTTTCGTAGGTCCTATTTTGAGGCGTTGGATACGATGCCATTAGTAAAATCAACCATGATCTCAATATTTCTCAGAAAATTCACTAAATGGGTGAAAATGGTACAAATATGTGTCAGAACTGATTTGAAATATCAATATTTTAATTCAACGTTACGCATTGTTTCCATGGTATGCTGTAAAACCATTCAGTACAATTCTTTATTTATTACTTTCAGCAAATATTGTCCTTCTTGAAGCTGCCACCCATAAGCTGTAAAGTTTATGTATTAATAATTATAAACTAAATACTGAAGACATTAAACAATTTTTAAAATATAAAATTTTAAACATTTATTTTAGTAATTCATACTATATTTAGCTTTAGATTTGAAGAATTTGCATAATACAAATTATATTACCTACCAAATCGATACCTTACACTTCGTTATTTGACATTATAGATAAATAGACAATTTGATATATACCTACGGGTTTTAAGTGACGCTGATTAAAGCTATGCAATCAGATTTTTGCCTGACCTACCACAATGTATATACACTATTCGCTTGTACGAAACTGTACATAAAAAAGCGAAAAAAAATAATAACTTAATAAATAAGCGGCGTTTCATCACAGATATTTTATTTTAACAAATTCAGTTACTGCTTTCATTATTGTCAATAATTTGTGCTATTTTAAGTGTAATTCTTCTTCTTCTTGTTCTTCCTGTAGTTAGGTTCTATTCACGTCCCAGATCACCGTGGCCTTATCAGACCTATTCTGTGTCCCACTATTCAAACCTATTTAGCAAGTAGCTATGTTCCTTTATCAAAGTCCAAAACCTTCCTTGCTGATACTTCTCTCAGCTCTATGGGTTCCAAAAAGGAGTTTTCCAGGACTGTCATTCTGCTAAGTGCAAATCACGTTCCATAAGTTCCTTCACATGGCTTTGCCCTTGTCCCGAAGCCCAGTATTTCCTATACTTTGACTTCGAACCAACGAACTCTGTTTCAGACCCCTTTATAGCAAGTTCATCCACATTCTCGTCTCCGTCAATGGCTATATATCCTGGCATCCAATACAGTCTAACTGTATTAGTAGTAACCATTCAGTCAGCATTTGTAAACATTCTCCCATAAGTTTTGAACTTACATTGTCCTCCTATGTCTAAAGTCACAATTGCTGTTTGACTGCTAAAGAATATTTGTATGAGTTTATGTTTATAACCTCTACGTACATTCTCTGCTAAACACGCCATTATCGCGAAAATTTATTGGCATACAGTAGGAAACCTCCTCAGAATGTAGCTTGCATTCCATCTGGGTCTGAGTCTATATACACCTAGCTATTTTGGAAAGCCTTCCGTGAACAGTATCAGGTTCCGTCTTTCCAGAGTATCAAACTTTTCCTCTCACTTACCTCTGTTCCTCTGTTCGAGGTCTCGAATGGCTTATGGAAGTGAAACCTTGGAACCATCTTGTCGGATACCATCCCCAGAGATCGTTCCGACGTAAATGTTTCCATAATCCTGGAATAGGGAGCATCTCTCCAGTCGTTATTAGTCGGTATGCTTCTCTTTTCTCCACTATATGAAGCGGTGGTAGATTTAGCATTACTTTTAGCGCAGCTGTTGAGGTCGATGACATGGCCTCCGTTGCACCCAAACAGGCCAATCTCTGGCCAGTTAAAATTAATTAGTAAATATTAACTAGTCTTTTAGCTAAGAAAAGAATGGCATTTACGTGATGTTGCAACAACTGTTGCAATATTTATCCACCCACTCGTGAACCAATTTGACCACGTCTAATCCAGTTTTGACGTCCTAAGATATTCTTCTCGCTGATCTTGCAATTGTATATCACTTCAGCACAATACACATCACATTTTAATTGGCCCCTTAAAAAAGTCAGTAGACAACGACATATCCAGAAGTCCATGCAATTCATTTCAACGAAATTCGGGAAACTGAAAACCACCATTAGATTTATTAATGCGAATTAAGTGGTTGACGACAGTCCCTACTCAAACATTCAAAGACAAAGATACTGGAAGTGATCCCATTGGTGAATGGAATGTAGATTTTCAAGTTCGCAGGCATCAGTATATTAACACTGTTTATCACATTTCGTGTAGACACTTTTTCATCTGTAACCAATACAGCAGATATCAAATAGACGTTATGAGCATTTTGTTAACAGCCACTCCCAAAAGCTAAACAGTAACAGAAAATCCGCAGGAACTAAAGCTTGAATATACAGTACATAGTAATAGAAATACATTCGAATTTCGTTAATATCTGCCACACTATTCATTGGGACACTCAGTTTGTTTACAGGAATTTTCTCCACTTTCGTCGGTTGCATTTTGTCACACTTCACTTCATCATAAAACAAATCCATTAATTCTGCATTACTGTACACATGGGCCATTTCTAACGCGTGTATGACTGATGTAAACAATAAATCACGGCAATAAGAATACTTATATGGAATAAATAAACTCTATTAAGTCAAATCAGTTGAAGCTTGCCTGGAGGGATGAACATAAAAAACTTACATACCTTTTAATAAACACACTACAGTCTCCCATCTACGAGTTGTTTTGAATATATTTATATTTTATAATATTTTTTTGGATATAGATTTTCTGGATAATTGTGAATCATTCTGTATAAAATAAATTTCTTTCCAATTGTGCATTTCAAAGCAAGGTCTGTTGGTTCTTCGTCAGTCATAATTAGAGACCGGAAATGTTAGGGTTGATGCAATGTGACACAAGGTTGCCTGTAGACCGGCTTCTTTTAAGTTTATTCAAACAAAAATTGACATAACCGTTGGCTTCTTATAATTGCACTCTTTAGATTATAACAATGTATATGTAAGTATTTGCATAATATTATAAAACAAAATACAAAAAAATTTGGGAATAGATGTGTCATAAAAAATTGAGTCAACGTCGTAAAAAGAATTTTGTAATATACTTACAGTTTCCGAGAAAAAAATTATTGAAGTTGTAGTATTCACAACCCTTACATCGCTGGGCATCATTCGCATTGTGCGCTGTCTCTCCACGTGGTCCCAGGCGATTCCGAATATTGAAATCCGATTTTAGTAATACCGTTTTTACGATACTGTTTACATTCGTGTAAAAAATGGTTTACGTGTATAGCAACTCGGAGTTGATGGACATCGTTTTAATTTATGGTGAAGCAAGACAACATTTATATTAGTTCGTAGAAACTGGGCAAGACGGACTCAAATGAGCTTACACGTCGGTGGACAAAATTTTAAATAGTTGTTGCAACATAAGGCATGTCAAATTATTTTATTAATTAACACCACAAATTAATTTCATTAATTAATAATAGTAGCGGGAAAGGCAGTTGAATTTGCTGATATAAAATAGGTAAAATTTTATTTATTTAATTCCTTATTACACTGCCGCCGTGCCGGTCGCTGACTGAATGCTTTGTCTTGCACAAAGTCAGGTTTTACAGTGTAGAGAAGTGTATTTTTAAGTCGTTTTCGAGCTGCCCTTTTCGATTTTACAAAAATGTATTTGTAAGTCCCCTGTTCATTCAAAATTTTTTTTGGATAAGCTGTGAATCACCCTGTATAGGTATAGTACGTAATCATAAGTACCAGCAGAAGTTAACAAAATAATAATTTCTTATTTATAAGGAAAGCGAATGTTTTATTTAATTATTTATTTATTTATTTTATTTTTTAAAACAGTCGAAGTTTTTAATACATGTTGTTTCTTACTAAAGGTGATGAACTACTTCACATTTTAGTAATCCCGTTATCCGTGTTATTGTACAATAATATCCCTGCCTCTGATCTGAAGCTTCACATCGATCAATTTATTCGATACGTATCTAGCGGCACCCTAAAGCCTGCCCTGTCGGCCTGGCGCGTCAGTGAACAATCTATGTTTTTGCTGAGGGTCGCTGGTCATGCATCTCATTATGCATGCCGCTTACTAGCATATAGATAATATAGATTACCACTGTTTATTTGTTTGATTGTCGCCACAAAGTTTACGATGTCTAGTCATAATGTATTATGTGAATAAAATTCATTATAGAAGATAATATTTTTTTGTAGGTACTTCCAAAAATAGTTAACAAGTATGAACCTTATAAAAAACATTGTTTATCCTTGTTTGATTTACTTAAAAAATCAGTCAGTCAGTCAGTAACCGAGGTAACTTTAAAATAGATGTATTGTTGAATAATAGAAATACCGATGTATTTCGTGCACTGCAGAATCGTATCTAATAAATTATTTCCACAGTCCGTTTGATTTGCTAGATACCGAACATGCGTTCACTTTCGATAAAAGCAAATAAATTCCCAATAATCCCTTGTAATCTTTTTGTTCTTATTCCACATAGATTCGAGCTGATGTATGGGGTAACAGAACTGGAGAGCATTCATCTCCTTGGCCCGGTTGCTCTTACCCACGGTATGCTGGAGAAGGAACGTGACGAAGAGCTAAGGAAATATGTCGGCTCTCGATGCGAAATGAAGCCGGAGCTTTGTTTGATGCACACCCTGGAGGAGTACACTGGAAGCGAGTGCTCATCGAACGATCAGGAAGACAGGGACAGCCCGTGTCACGTGATGAACAAGGCATTTCGGACCAGAAATGCCTTACTTGATATCCTATCGGATGCTCGAACCGTTGCACCGATTGTGCAAATGGCGAAATACCACGCCGCACTCAACTTGCAATCTTACTTTTATGTGTTCACACACAAGACGCATTCCAGGGACTACATTGTAAGTTCTATTATACATTTTACTAATTAGTTACATTTGAATTTGTTTGGCTGAATGCACATTTTAAGCGAAAACATTGTATTACTTCCATTGCCGATTTCGCTCAAGGAATTTCTGTTCCCCTTAATTGCATTTACAAGCAATAAGGTGCCGATAATTTTCTGATTTCTACTGCGTTTCGAGTTTATGGGTCTGCCCCAATAACTATTCGTGTGTTTTATTGTGGGTATTTCCTCAATTTTGTGGGTGTTAAAGTGGAAGTTAATTTTTTAAACGAACATCAGGAATTTTATTGTTATAAAAGCTTCCTTAATACTCCAGTCAAATTAGAGTTTGAATGGGAAAAAATTATTAGCTAAACTCATATTTTACCAATTTGTTAACTGTAAAATAAAGGTTGTTTACTTAGATTTGATAAATTTGTAAATTAATAATTAATTTAAATAGTGAGCTGTTTGCTATGTAACCAAGAGACATGTTTCTATCAAAATATAAAATAAATAAATAATTTCTCCATATGTCACGATTTTAATTTGAAGCACATTTATATATACAATAACTCAATAAAAGAAAAATATACAGTTCATTCATCAAAAACAAAGGTTGAACGCGGAAAAATCGGTTTTCAAAAATTGCGCATTTTTATTGAAAAATGGGATAGATGTTGATGAAATTTATGGTCAATCCAAAGACCAACATGTGTGCCAAAGGCCGATTCGATTGACACTGAAATTGTTGTTAGTTAATTTCGTTTGTTTTTTTGCAAGTAATTGTTTAATTACTAAACGTTAATTTTAGAAGTTAATATCGTAGATATAGGTTCTGATTGATCTAAAGTAGCCCTTAAGCAAGTATTAAGTTAGTAATACTTAAGTAGCCCATTTCAACTAACACAGTAGGACGTGCAAAATAGCGTTATAAACAAATTGTCCCAGGGTCAGGCAAAAGCCGCTTGGGAATTTTTTTTTTGCATTTAATAGATTTATGGTAATTTAAAAAAGGGAAATCACCTACACCTCTTTGTACAAGAGGTGTAGGTGTACAAGACAACATTTTTCTTCATAATGTTAATTGTCAATTAACTATTAGACATATCGGACCAAGATTTTAAAGACAGTTAAAGAAATGGTTAAACTTTTACTTCCAAAAAGTTTTACATTGATAATTCATATAATAAACGCGCTAGCAGCAGTAAAAGTTAACGTTTCTGAACGGCCTGCACGCGGGAGAAGGAGCGCTGGGCCGGCGCACGCGCATGAACGCCGCTCTCGTCGTGCGCGAGATTTTTTAACTTAATTTGAAACGTTCAAGTCAAAAGTACTTTATACGACCATAAGCTTGTAGTGACATTAGATGTTACTTTGCTAAGTTATTTCAATTTCAATACTTATAATAACGTATAACAAGGCATCCAAAATTATTTTCTGAATCTATAAATAATTTTTTTTGTTTTTTTTTGTAATGGATTTCAATAAATCAATTACTTTTTAAATTCTACTGCGTTTCAAATTAGTAAATCTACTTCAGTAACTTTTCTGGTTTTATTGACATACGAATTTCGTTTTTCTAGAATCAGAAAATTACATTCAAATAAAGAAGAAAGGCATATTCAGGTTGTCTTGGAGTAAATGGGCCATACGGCAAGGGTTGCTCCTTTGAAAAATAAATAAACACATTCAGAACAAGTTACTGTAGCAAAATTTGTGACACCAAGAACTGGAAAAAATTATATAATTTTTTTTTCGCTTTATGCCAAAAATTATGTTCTTTATACAGTATATAATAAATTAATATAATATGCTTAATGAACAGAAAAAATAAAATTATATACATATAGTAGTAGTTCGGGATTATAATATACAGATTGAAATTTAACTGAGGGTCATATTTATATGGAAGCTACTTTTGAACCTTGGAAATTTGTTTCCTCACATTTCGTTGTAAAAAGTGATTTTTTTTTCTTTTTTTCCTAATCTTCATACCCCGCCGCTGAACAGGCTAATGTAGCCTCAAGCAACAGCCCTCGCTAGCCGTGATCTACTGCACGCATTGTTGTCAAATTATTTTTTTATTTACTTACATGTTCTTTCAATGTATCAGATAGAAATTTAAGAATGAAAACACACAAACACATATCGAAAAATTAATACTTCCTTCAGATAGTTACGAAATTATCTCCTCTCGTAAACCGATAAACTGAAAGTGAAAACAAATCAGGCTCACATATTTGGACATTCTCGTTTTGCCAAATGAACATTAGCCTGTTCTCTGCTTGTCTAGCGTCCACTTATTATTATTATTGACATTATTTGGTTGATCTAAACTAAATCAATGTTAGAGGTCATTGATATTGAGATTCATATATTAAACACAGTGCTTTGAAAAATAATATTTGGAATAATTTTAAAATATATTTTAAGTCAGATTATGGTAAGTATTTTTAATTATGTATATTTTATAAAAATGCTAAGGTTATTATTTTAAAATAACGAGCGTTCAAATAAAAACGTGGTCGAAGTTGGCTCTGACACATTGGACGTAGGGAGTAGCTTATAGCGACCAACTTAACCTCATTTCTCAACGAGCTGTATAGCAGCTGTCAGTTTCAATAACGTTAATGACTATATAACTTTATTTTAAAGAATAATCGTGATAACAATAACAAACAATTAAAGGAGCTGCGGAAAGTGTCCCCCTCCTTGTTATAACAATAAATTAAAGCAGCTGCTGAAAGTGTCCCCCTCCTTGTTCCAAGCACTTTTCACACCTGTTCCTCAAAGAATTAAAGACATTTTCTAAGATGCTCGGGGTATTGTTAATTTCACGAATCTTGTCTATAAGTCGAGCCTGCAGATGGTTTAAATCAGGAATAGGCAGTTCAAAAATAGTGTTTTTAAGGTAAGGCCACAAAAAGAAATCACACGGCGTAATATCACATGACCTCGGTGGAAATTCATGTTCAGCATTGAGACTTATTAGTCGATTTTGGAAAACTTCCCTCAACATATTCATCGTCTCGCCTGCCGTATGTGCCCTTGCGCCATCTTGTTGAAAGTAAAAGTTTGTAATTTCGTTTTCTTCCAGCTGGTTAACAAAAGGAGCGATAATTTCTTCTCTATACCTTTGCGCAGTAAGAGTACCATTAAAAAAAATAGGTCCATAAATCCTCCTTCGATTGAGAGCACACCAAACTCCAATTTTTTGAGCGTGTAGAGGGCCCTCGACAAAAAAGTTATCTGGTTTTTCAGAAGACCACATTCTCATATTCTGTGAGTTTACGTAACCACTTAAATGAAACCAGGCTTCATCAGAAAAAAAGGTGATATTATGAAGTTCACCGTAGTTGTTTAAAAACCATTCACAAAATACAGCCCGTCGCGGAAAATCAACTTCATGAAGTTCTTGCTGACAAGTTAAACGATAGGAGAACAAACGCAAATCTTTTTTTAACACTGTGTGGCAGGTACCGACTGATACTCCCACCATTTGTGATAAAACACGTACAGAAGTTCTTGGCGCATTTTCCATTATTTGTTGGACATTTTCTTTTAATTCTTCAGTCCGCTTTTTAGGTCGGCCGCTTCCTTCTTTTCTTGTTACACTGCCCGTTTCACGAAAAACATTAACACAACGCTGAACTGCACTTTGAAAAATTTTGTACTCAACAACGCCGGGAAATTGATTTTGAAATTCTATGAAACATTCCTCAATAGAATACTTCCATATTCCATCAATCTTGCGTCCATTTCTAAAGTAGGACTCTATGATAAACACTTTTTGTTCTTGAGAAAACACCATTTTAAACGCTTTTTAAAACGAAAATATTCAAATTGATAGCGGCGATTATAGCGCTTTGACAGATGACGTTTAAGTTCATTTGCTATACGCTACGCCCTACGTCCAAATTTTCAGAACCAACTTGACCACGTTTTTATTTGAACGCTCGTTATAATAGTTTTACTTTCAGTTAGTAATGTATGCCAATCCACATACTACACAGTTAATAGTTATAAAATTATGTAAAAAATTTATAAATTTTAAAATTTTCATGAGTAGGACTGTCAGAGAGAGCTGCAATTCAATGGCGTACCAAGCGGGTCAACCGAGGCATGCGTGAGCCGCTGCCTCAAAATGCTTTTCACGTTCACATCACGTTAGTATACAGTTGTGTTTGTTATCGTGTGGGTGTTGCGTAATTAATTCTTGTCTATTGGGGTTTATGGTGGTGTAGACAATTTAATTTGTTGCTTTTTAATATACAGGCTGTCTACTATAAGAGGGCCGCACCTATGTATCTCGCTTAATACACGATGCACGTCAAAAATCTTTATATGTTTTTCTTGCATTTTTTGAGGCCTTGATGCTTGTAAAAACAAATTTTAGATTCATGGCCAATTTTATGAGAAATCATAAAAAACCGGAAAATTACCAAAAGTTTAGGGCCATCTAACTTTTTTATTTTAAGAGATAGACAAAACTTATTTTAATAAAATTTCATGGCAAAATTGATATCTTTCACCTGGTGTAAACAAGTTTTTGACGTATAGTATGTAATTTGCTGCGCCCTCTACGCGGACAAAAACAATTGCCATTGAAGCAGGCTGTGGATACAAAAAATTGCTTGTTTTTTTTTCATCTTTCATGCGATGTTGTTGCCTTTATCATTTATATTTATTACATTTTTATAATTTTGGTATCAAAAATGTAAATTAATGTATAGAAATTGGTTTAAACAGGTCAACTCAAATTTGTTTTTACGAGCATAAAGGCATCAAAATATGCAACAAAAAACATATAAAGATTTTTGACGTGCGTCGTATATTAAGCAAGATACATAAGAGTGGCCCTCTTATAGTAGACAGCCTGTATAAGGCGTACGCTTATATCCCGCGGCTCAGTTCTGACAGCCTTATTAATCAGCATATATAAACGTAACAAAGTTATACAAATGCAATCTGTTCTTAGAAAACTATTTTCTATAGCAGTTTTCCTTTCTGTCA